TTTCGAGCCCTGTGCTTGTTTTCCTGTATGTTGAGCGTGAGCAACGGCCACGAGCTCGTTGAAGAGAGGCCAGAAGGACTTCGTAAGTAGGCACCTCATACCCCGAACTGAGGTACGTACGCGTAATCCTACCTGCTAAGTCCCCTGATCCTTCAGGTATAAGCCAGGTAGCTATATTTATACTCACTGGCCGAAATGAAAGCTGAAACTTTCAGAACCGACTACCTTATAAGAACCCCAAAAGTTGAAAAGTTGAGTTTACAGCCAACAAGTATCTGCTTATACCCGTATGGCTTGGGCTGGGGTTCAGAACCCCTCAACCTTCAAACTTCCACCTTGGGACACAAGTACGCACCAGACCCGCCTGTCACCCTAAGCCCTAAACACTAAACCCGAAGCCCTAAACCCTCAACTTCCAAAGCGACACAACAAAAGTAAAGCTTGAAAGAAGGCCGTATCTTAGCGTGACTCAGGTAGGATACCTGGTTGGGGAGCGCAACTGCGCAGATCCTTCAAAGAGCGTATGCTGCAAAAGGGGATCATCTTTCCCTACAAGCAAAGACGCTCGACATCCTGAAGCACGCAAACCCACAGAAAAACCGAAATCCTTGCTAAACCTGCTGCCCAAATTGGCTTGTTTGGATTTTAATCTAGGACTTAGAGCACTCTTCGGCAGTCTCACCCGGAAGTGTTGATCTTATGCTGCATGCAGGCCGTTTCACGAACTCCGTGACTCTAGCACGGCGTCTGCCATGGTCTTAGACTTCGGGGTTCGTAGGATTCGTAGTGTAGGGTGAGCCCATGCCACGGTTTTGGGGTTCAGGGCCCCAGACCCTAGAACCCCTAACCGAAAGTCCGGACACAGAAACAAAAGCGAGGCGAATTCGGTGCACGTGGCTGCGCGGCTGGGCCCAAGCCCTGCTTTTTGAATCCATGCTTCTGTTCAGCCTGGTAGTCTGGATTCTTGCTACTGTGATTATTGGCTCTGTTATCACGATTATCACTATTCTTGTTGTGACTAGTACTACTAGTATTACTATCATTTATTACGAATAGTGTTATCACTCCTCCTCCTGCTGGTGCTACTGCTACAGCTGCTACTGCTGCTACTGCTGCTACTGCTGCTACTGCTGCTACTGCTGCTACTGCTGCTACTGCTGCTGCTGCTGCTACTGCTACTGCTACTGCTACTGCTACTGCTACTGCTACTGCTACTGCTACTGCCACTGCTACTGCTACTGCTGCTGCTGCTGCTACCACCACCACCACCACCACCACCACTACGACTACTCCTCCTGCTGCTACTACTACCACCACTACTGCTACTGCTATTGCCATGATTGTCTTAGTAGCACCGTCTTGTTTGTCTGATAGTAGGGAACATTCGCTCGTAATTCTTGCGAGCTGTGGGAGCCTCTTGCCGCGCAGCCCTATCTTTCAGGCCAGAGGGGGCACAGCGATCATACCAGGACCTACGGCATCGAGGCTTTGGAATAGTGGGTTTCGGGCTTGAGGGCGGGATTTGGGGGGTTTGTTTGGCGATTCGACCGCCCTTGGCTTCTTATGGGACAGGCTCAAGCCTTTAAGGACCCAACATTCTAAAAGATTTGCATTTGTACATGCTACATCCCAGATCCAACCTGTAGCCGAAAAACGTGGCGTACATAATTCAGGAAGGCATCAGGCGCACTCTAAATCCTACATCCCTTAGGGTGGCTTTCACGGGGGATATTCTAGTTTCGCTACCTTAAGGAACCCTAAAACAAACTGCTTCTAATTACTAATGACTCCGACCCCTATAGTCAATAGATGGAAACCACTGTAAAAAGAATCATCAACAAAAAAGAACGACAGAAAAAAAAAAAGGCAAGCGCCCTGAACCCTTAAATCTCTCCGATAGTCCCCTGTTGGTTAGCCGCACTGTCAAGGAACAAATAAGTAGATGACTCAAACGCCCGAAACACCCCTGAAAAAAAGCCAACCCGTAAACCCCTAAACCCCTGAACCCCTAAACCCCCAAACCCCTAAACCCCTAAACTATACCCCTAATCCCCCAAACCCTAACCCCTAGACCACTAAACTAAGCCCCCTAATCCCCTGAACCCCTAAACCCCTAAAAACCCAAACCCCTAAACTGCACCCCCAACCCCCTAAACCCCCAAACCCTAACCCCCAGACCGCTAAACTAGACCCCTAATCCCCTGAACCCCTAAACCCCTAAAACCCAAACCCCTAAACTGTACCCCCAACCCCCTAAACCCCCAAACCCTAACCCCCTAAACCCCCAAACCCCTAAACCTCGATATTAATCCCTTTAAAGGAACCCTTATAGACCCCTTGAAAGGCCCAACCTCCTAAACCCCTAAACCCCTGAAACCCTTAAACCCTGAACCCCCCCAACCATCAGACACCCTGAAACCCTATAGATCTCTTTAAAGGAATCCCTTTTGATCCTTTTAAAAGAACCTCTAGACCCCTAAAACCTAAACCCCTGAAACCCCTGAAACCCCTGAAACCCTTGAAACCCTTGAAACCCTAAAACCTAAACCCTAAACCCCAAAACCCTAAACCCTAAACCCCTGAAACCCTGAACCCTATACATCCCTTTAAAGGAATCCCTATAGATCCCTTTCAAGGAACCCCTAAACCCCTAAAACCCTAAACCCCTGAAGCCCTGAACCCCCCCCCCCCAACCATCGGAGCCTCGCCCAGGCGCCGGTCGCCGGCCTCGCTCTGCTTTGAAGCTTTAGGGGGCCTTGGGTTGAGGGGCTTAGGGTTCCTTTAAAGGGATCTATAGGGGTTCCTTTAAAGGGATCTCTAGGGTTTAGGGGTTTAGGGATTAAGGTTGAGGGTTGAGGGGGTTTAAGGTTTAGGGTTTAGGCTTGAGGGGTTTAGGCTTGAGGGGTTTAGGAATTAGGGCTCCCTTAAGGGTTCTATAAAGGTTTAGGGTTAAGTTGTTGAGGGTTGGGGGGTTTAGGGTGTAGGGTTGTTTTTGGGGGAGTTTAGGGTTGGTTTCAGGGTTTAGAAGTTTAGGATTTAAGGTTGAAGGTTTTGGGGTGGAGGGTTGAGTTTGGGGTTTAGGGCTTCAGGGGTTTAGGGGTTTGGGGTTTTAGGGTTTAGGCTTTAGGGTTTAGGGTAAGGTTCTGTGCGGGAGAGCGTTTGAATGATTGCTTCGTAGGTGCTGCAGCGTTTTGAGAGCTCTGTAATGTAGAGGCCTTACAAATTCAGAATAGGGCTTTGGGGCATATTGTACCATAGTATAATAAGGAACCCCCCAAAACAGTACAGATCACTAGGTGGATTTCAGACGCGTTCTAAAGCCTGATACCCTGAAACCCTAAACCAGGGGACTACACTTCCTTAAATAAGCCATTGTTGAAGTCTTACTATGGGGGTTAAGGCCCCCTTCCCCCCTACCCCCTACCCTCTAAGGGTCCTTATGATCAAACCCTAAACCCTCAACCCCAAAACCCTAACTAAAACCCTAAACTCCTAAATCCTAAAACCCCAAAATAAGGCCTTATTAAGTCCTTACTACTGTTGATGATACAAATCTTGCACCACCTTAAGGACCCTAAACCATGGGAATTATGGCATAGTCCTTATGGGTAATGCAGGATTTATATCATCAACCGTATGGGTGTTAAGGCCCGGCCTCGGAACAGTGCGCCGCGCGGCTGCTCAGCAAAGCAGGGTTGGCCTGAAAGTAGGGTTTACTAAACCCTAAACCCTAAACCCTAAACCCTAAACCCTAGGGTTGGAGGTTTAGGGTTCCTGTCAAGGGATTTTCAGGGGTTCCTTTGAAGGGATCTATAGGGGTTCAGGGACTCTAGGGTTGAGGGTTGAGGGTTTAGGGCCGTTTAGGGTTTAGGGTTTAGGTTTAGGGTGTTCCCTTGAAGGGTTTCTGAAGGGACCTTGGAGGTTTCCTTCGAGGATTCCAAGGATTGCCTGAAGGGTGCCGCTGACTTGAAGTGACTTGAAGGGCTCCTTCCAGGGTTTGGGTTTGGGTTTGGGGCCTTTTGGGGGTCTGTAGAGTTTTGTAGGGTTTTGGGATTTACGTTTAAGCGAGGCGTTTTATGCCGTTAGGTTGAAAAAGCCATGAAAGCCGCAGGTGGATGACCTGCGCTCTGTCGATGGCAACACTTATCTGAGTGATCGTTGCTTGCACCAAGTAGTCGTCGTCGTCGCAGTCCTCGTCGTCGATCATCTTGTTGCTCCGGTAGCTTTAGTGGTAGGGGGAGCGGCAGTGACAGCGCTGGTGCCTGGGCTTGCCGTGCAAAGTGCTAGTGCAGGTGCCGGTGCTAGCACTGGCGCTGGTTCAAGTGCCAGTGCTCGCCATAGCGGCAGGGGCAGCCATAGGGGTAGCGGTAGGCTGTTAGTAAAAAGAAGCAACAATGCCATGTCTAATGTTGCCGTGATCAATATCTGCATGGCTTCACCAGTACCTGTATCATCTTTACAGTCTAGCTCTTGGTACGAGGAGTACAACGGTTGATGACATAAATCCTGCATTACCTTAAGGAACCTAAACTATGGGAACTATGGTATGTTCCTTATTATGGGTCATGCAGGATTTATATCATCAACCGTAGGAGTAGTATGTTGTCCATAATCGCACACGTGTACTGATTTCGGTCATAGTACCGGTAGTACTCATACGAGCAGCTGGAATGTGTATTGGCACCAGCGTCCGTATAGTGGCATCAGTGTTGATGCAGGCTTCCAGCTATTCACAGCTAGTCTGTCGTGTCAAGTACTCAATATTCTGAAACAGCGTTGCATCAGTATGTGCGTTGGTGTTTGCACTCATCGTCGAGAGCAGCAGCAACAACATTCTCAAAAGCAATACTCAAGTCGCTGTAGGGCTTGCTGCTGCTGTTCGTTCTGATTTCCTCCTTACCAGTACTGCAAGTGCTTGAAGAACGCATTTGTAAAACAGCAGCGAAACACCTGCACCAACCAACCAAACCCAGTTTGGCCCTGTAGTGCTACCAAGTTTCATACAGCGCGGCGCCACCAAAATTGCAATCTTGCAGTGGGTCTTCCCCAACCTGCAGCTAACGGATCCGGCTCTTGGGAGTTCAGCGTTTATAAGGTTTATGGTTTATATGGGTTGGGGGCTCACGAGTTTAGGGTCGAGGGGTTTAGGGTTTATAAGGATGGGGGATGTAGGGTTTATAAGGTTTTGGGGTTTTAGGACTATTCACGAACCCCGAAGCCCTAGGCGGTAATGCAACCACCCAGGCAGGCAACCACCCAATCGGTTCCGAGCAGACTAGGTGCTCAGGTTAGGCATTTGGGAGAAATGTTGTGCCTCAATCATAGCGACCCTTAGGGGGTTGGGGGGAGGGGGTAGGGGGCCTTCATGCCCATGATAAGGACCTACGCCTATTTGTTGTCCCCTACCCCCCTCCCCCACTGCTATCCTCCAGGCTCCTATATTAGTTTTGATGCGGCGCGGGGATTAAGCCTACGCCACAACCTCCTTAGTCAGGGCTTGAGGGTTTAGAGACTAGAAGTCAACCCTGAGCCTAAAACTTTAGGAGACTATGGATTGGGGGTTCAGGGGCTTGACATGATCTGCAACTGATGCCACCATCAAGGCTTTGAAATCGATCATGTCTGCTACGTCTTTTTCGTCGTCGGCACGCAGCAGCATGCTAATGACTTCGACAGCCTTACACGAAACCATACAGGACAGGAACCAATGAAGGAGCCCTTACAAGACCCCTATGACCCCTCTGAGTCAAGAAGCGAGGTTGTACCATCGGCTGAACAGCCAGTCGCCCGTGCTGAAAGCATCTTCGGCGCAGGATGGTGGCACGTCCTCGCACAAAGGCTGCATTCTGGTGCAGGGTCGGGGGTACACTAGAAGTTGCAGTGTCGTAGTAGTAGTAGTAGTAGTAGTAGTAGTAGTAGTAGCAGCAGTAGTAGTAGCAGAAGTAGTAGTAGTAGTAGTAGTAGCAGCAGCAGTAGTAGTAGCAGCAGGAGTAGTAGTACTAGTAGTAGTAGTAGTAGTAGTAGTAGTAGCAGTAGCAGTAACTAAAGCAGCAGTAGTGATCGGTAGTGGTGGTAGTTCTGCTCCACGGCTGTCTAAGAGCTTTAGGCCTTCTTCCATCTACAAAGTGCTTCTTCGCATGATGTAGCGGCCGTTCAAGTTTGAGGGTGCATATTGAGATATACGTAAAGTATACAGGGACTGTACGGATTTAGAGCTTAGGCTTTGAGGGTCGAGGGTTCAGCGCTTAAAAGTATATGTCTAAGGATTTAGGACAAGTAGTCACACGGGCCCCAAACGCCGCTAGAACCCTCAACCCTAAACCCCAAGCTTGTTTAGGGTTTAGGGTTTAGGGTTTAGGGTTTAGGGTTCAGGGTTCAGGGTTCAGGGTTCAGGGTTTAGGGTTTAGGGTTTAGGGTTTAGGGTTCAGGGTTTAGGCTTCGAGTTTCTCCTTTCGGGTTTCGAGCCAAGGGTTTCTAGCTTCCACCGGCGACTCGTCACTAAGAAAGCCTCTAATAGAAGGGCCTTAATAACTTAGGGTTCTGAGGCCCATTATACTATAGTTGTACTAAGGAACCCCCAAAATAGTAAAGTATAGGTAATTATTGAGGCTCCTGTAGTAGATTCGCCCCGCGACTCGTCACTAACGAAACCCCCTTTTAACTTTTCTTCAGCTTGAACCCTAAACTAGTTCATTGTTGGGATAGGATTAGATATGTGTATCTTTTATCCATATTTTGTTTAAGTACCCACAAAAATGTAAATTGCTACCTAACTATGACAAAGTAAACCCTAAACACGGTGGCAGGGAGAAGATCGCCGTGGGCTTCCAGTTTGGGTCTCCGGGTTTCGAGACCTTGACTGTGGGGGTTTAGAGGTTTAGGGTTCCTTTAAGGGCTCCTTTAAGGGCTCTCTAGGGGTTTAGGGTTTAGGGTTCCTTTAAGGGTTCCTTCAGGGGTTCTGTAGGGGTTTGGATTTCCTTTGAAGCGGTTCGGATCTAGGCTTTTGAGCCGAAAGCCCGAAGGCGTAAGGGTATAGGGTTTATGATTTACGGTAACTATAAAGGGTTCTATAGGGGTACCTTTACAGGGATTAGTATTGGTTTAGGGTTTAGGGTTTAGGGTTTAGGGTAACTTTACCCTACATCCGAAATTTAGGCTTTGGGATCTAGGATTAGGCTTAGCAAACCTACACTGAACTTAGAACCCTAGCAAAAATTAAAAATGTTGGCTGTTTCTTAGGGATGAAAATAACCAAAAATTCAAAAAAAAGTTTCTAAGTACCCCTAAGAAACAAGTTCGGGATTTGGATTCAGGAGTTTCAGGTTGCGGCAGGGAAAGTGAAGCTCTCCACCAACCAACCACCTACGGTTCTTTAAGAGGACTCACCCAAAATCTAAACGGCTGCACCCAGTGATGATAACGCTTGGGGCTTAGGGTCCTACCTTGAACTACCATAGCCTACACGTTTGTAGGTTCTTATTGTAAACCTTACCTACTTGTCGGGTGTCATGGGGAACTAAAGGATAAACTTTTTGGTTATATCGGGATTATATGGGGCTATACTACCCAAGAAGGTGAAAGGTTACTTACTCTACTACTGGGCCTAACATAGAATCTACAGGGACCCAAGGTACTGTTGATGGACAAAAAGGAATATACCATAGTTCCCATAGTTTAGAATCCTTGGGGTCATGCAGGATTTCGTCCATCGACAGTATGACTGCAAAGAAGACCCCAGGGGCCTCGCAAGAGAAATTGGCGGGCCCATGGCCGCAAAGCCAAGAGATAGCCTGTTCACTGGCACAGGAAGATCTTAGGGCTTAGCTTAGGGTTTAGGGTTGACTCGCTGGCCTAAAACCCAAGGAAATAGAAGTTGAAAGGAAAGCTTAAGGTTTAGGCCGAACCTTAATTCCTAAACCCTAAACCCTAAAGACCGAACCTTAATTCCTAAACCCTGAACCCTGTTTAGGGTTGACCCACTGGCATAAAACCCAAGGAAATAAAAATTCAAACTTTCAGAGTCGACTACCTTATCAGCGCCCCAAAAGTTGAAAAGTTGAGTTTGCAGCGAATAAGTTGAAAGGTGGCTCTAAGGCAGTGTCTCGGGTCTTTGTGTAAGGGTGTGTCGGCCAGTCACCCTACGCCCAAACCCCAATGAAGTACCTAAAATCCCGAAAAATCGGGCAAGACCCAACTACTAGGAAACCCTCAACCCTGAGCTATCAGCGCCATTATGTCGTGGTTGGTGGCAGGAGAGGTTTGTCTCTGCTTCGGTGGTTCGGGGTACCTCCAATCAAGCAGAAACTGCACATACAACCAAACGGCTTTGCGTGTTTGATAGGGCTGTATGCGTTTTCATTGGGCTTCATACTGTCCTTATAAGCTCAGTTATGTCCGAAGTAACTATAGTTAGGAAACTTAAAGCTGGGTTAACAAGTGCAGTTACGGTTGGGTTATGTGTAACCTGCACCTCCAAATACGATTTGGCATGCACTTCGTGGTGCACCAAAGCAAGACCCGCGCAAAGGACGCATCGCACCATCCTCAAGTGGTCATCCACATCCATCAGATGTTCCGCCTTATGCCGGTCAACTAAACCACACAAAGTTAGGGAGGATTTTTCAACTACAGTAGTGCCTTCATCTTGTTACTTAGTTGTTCGGCTTCTTCCGTGAGCATGAACTTTTCGGAGTTAAGCCTAAACCCTAAACCCTAAACCCCTTAACTTAAGGACTTTTTTAAGGGGTTTAGGGCTTAGGGTTTCGGGGTTAGGGGTGTCAGATGATAGAAGGCCCGGAGCCGAAACAAGAAACAAACATGTCCATATTGGGTTTGGGTTTCAGGGCTTAGGGTTTTGGGGTTCAGGGGTTTGGGGGTTTAGGGGTTTAGGGTTTTGGGGTTTAGGGATTAGGGATTTTGGGTTTAGGGTTTTGGGGTTCAGGGGTTTGGGGGTTTAGGGGTTTAGGGTTTTGGGGTTTAGGGATTAGGGATTTTGGGTTTAGGGTTTTGGGGTTTAGGGTTTTGGGGTTCAGGGGTTTGGGGGTTTAGGGGTTTAGTGTTTTGGGGTTTAGGGATTAGGGATTTAGGGTTTAGGGTTTTGGGGTTTAGGGTTTTGGGGTTTAGGGTTTGGGGGTTTAGGGTCTTGGGGTTGTGGGGTTTAGGGTTTAGGGGTTTAGGGTTTTGGGGTTCAGGGTTTGGGGTTTTGGGGTTTAGGGTTTAGGGGTTTAGGGTTTAAGGCTTTTGTGGTGTTTAGGGTTTTGGGGTTTAGGGTCTTGGGGTTTTGGGGTTTAGGGTTTAGGGGTTTCGGGTTTAAGGTTTTTGTGGTGTTTAGGGTTTTGGGGTTCAGGGTTTGGGGTTTTGGGGTTTAGGGTTTAGGGGTTTAGGGTTTAAGGTTTTTGTGGTGTTTAGGGTTTTGGGGTTTAGGGTCTTGGGGTTTTCGGGTTTAGGGTTTAGGGGTTTAGGGTTTAAGGTTTAGGGTTTTGGGGTTTAGGGTTTTGGGGATTAGGGTTTAGGGTTTACAAATACCTATAACTTCAACTGGGTTGTGGTTTTCGGACCCGCAAAGTTGTGTCCCAAATCCCGATTCTAATTATTAAGGCCCCTATATTAAATCCTTACAATCTGCTCTTATAGTAACTTTACAAGCCCCTTCAAAAGAAACCCGTTAAAGGAACCCCTATTCTAGTTATTAACGCCCTATATTACTGTAAACCCTCACGCACCTGGCCGACTTGCCCGGCATCCGCGGCAGGATCGGCCACACAGCGGGCATCGGCGCTGAATGTCGTCCAAGCCTGTGAGAAACGAACAAGAGCTCTAGCTTCCGTGATTTTTTTAGTTTGGGTTCCCGAAGGGCTACAGTCAAATGGGAGTTTCCGAAAATAGGGGACCCTAAACTAGTACCCTAAATAGTAGGTTTCTTATTATCAGGACCCCAAGATAAGGTCCCCAATTTTCGGAAACTCCCAAATCCTTATGGGGGGTTCAAGGGTTGAGAGTTTTATGGTTTCACGCCTCCATTTCGCAGACTTGCCGGCTTAAAGACGGGGTTCAGGTTTTGGCAACACTACAGTCGCACCCCTAGAAGCACCCTGAATCCTACAAGCCACAGGCCCTGCAAGCCTTAAACAATTAGCCGTAAACCCTAAAGCCTCAAACCAGAAAAAGCCTTTCACTCGAAAACCTAAACCCCTCAACCACAGCTGTGAACCCTCCTCACCACTTGGCCATTCCGAGCCCCTGGCGGGCTTGTAAGAAATGGCCACGACGAGGCTGCTAAACGTCCTGTACTTCTTAGGTCTGTTCTCGTGTCTTTAAGACGTGATAGGGCTAAAAAATCTGATCGGGATTTCTGGAGCAGCTTGAATAAATAGAACATTCTTGAAGCAGCGCTGTGACTATAAATACATGAGGGGAAGCCTATGAAATATGAGCATCAGCAGCTTATGTGTTTCGCGCCTCCCCTCAAGTTTGCACCGGCCGTTTTAGAAACCCTGCTATTGCTGAAGCTTCTGCTGGAAATAACTATGCTTGAGTTCCAACTCTTTATGTCTACTCCTTCTGAAGTGTACGATACATCGAAACCGAAACATAATCTGCAGGGCAAATCCCTATGTCTAAACTTATGACGTTGTATGTGCTGCGAGAGACTTCATATAAGGAATAGTTACTATATGGAAACTACACATGTTTATGATTTCAGGGTTTTCAATTTCATGGAAATTTCAGAATCTGTATTAGGCCTGAGAAACGGTAAAGTGCAAAGAACACCAATTATGATTTACTGATAACTTATCAGTATTTTACAAAACTTTACACTTCTTTTTTATCAAAAAGTGGACTGTACTTATTGCCAAAATGAATTTCTGTGCGCTATGTTGCGCGAAAATGTAATTGCATATCAGAAGTGCACAGTCGCTGTTAAGAAAATTCAACTGTTTGTAAGAAGAGTGTAATTTTTATGTAAAACAAGGTGTGTTTCACACTTTTGCAATTTTGCAGGCCTTCCGGGTGCTCCCTTGCCCACCCCCGAAATCTTTTCCTCGGAACCTTTGCAAAATCTTAAAAGAAACATATTTCCATAAGCCTGAAAACCCTGGAACGTGTGAGTTTTGCATGAAAATACCTCCTGGAAGCTATGGCCTCCCTCGCGCGATCCGAAGTCATGTCTAAACCCTGCACTGACACCTCAACCCCTAAACCCTAAACCCTAAAACCCTTTACTAAACCCTAAACCCTCAACCCAGAGCGCCTAAACTGTCGTTTAGGGTTGGGGGATGCATTTGTTGGCGGCCGAGCTTGTGTGGGTCTGCTTCGAGGATCGGGGGACTTAATAAGTGGGGTTCTGAGTACCGAAATTGGGGGCTAGAAGTATATAGCTATAGTTACCTTACGTTTAACCCTGCTTTCAAGGTCTCCTGAACGTGCAAGTAGAATACAGCGCGCAGGATTCAAGCTTACAGGCGCGACTCGAGACGGACAGACCGAAGCTTGCTGCTTTCATCATGAATAGATATCAACCCTAAACTCTTAACCCTAAACTCTAACCTACTCAAAAACTACATGATACGAGGTAGCGTCTTTGATGAACTTCGGCTACATGATACGAGCTAGTGTCTTTGATGAGCTTCGGCTGCAGGTTGCACTGCTTTATTAGCTGCGCAGGCCTAGTATGTGCACCATATAATAACTCGACTACATCTGGGGGTATACTATAGCATAACTACATCAAGTCGTCCAGGATTTATGAGGAATAACACTGGTACTGATTTAGGCACGTTTATCAAACTCTCAGCAAAACACGGCCGCTTTTCGAATTGAGGCTGGCAGAGCGGAACTTCACGAGTGCTTCATGCCTCCTAACCGAGCAGCCAAGTGCATAAGACTTCTACAGCCCGAGCTGCGCCCCAAACTTTGGACCTTGTCGATGAAAAAAAGGGACCCTAATGTGATACCCTAAGTAGAAGGATCCTTGTTACAGGAACCCCAAAATTGTGCTTGGGACTGTTGCGGGGCGTGGGAACTGATCCGAAACCTGGACCCTGAACCCCAACCTAAAATCCCGGGGTTAAGGGTTTAGGGTTTAGGGCGTAAGGTTTAGGGTTTAGGGTTCAAGGTTTTAGGGCCTAAGCCCTAAACCGTCAACCCTAAACCCTTATCCTATGGTTAAGGGCGTAAGGTTCAGGGTTTAGGGTGTGGTACCCTCAACCAGGCTCCTGCCAGACTCTGCGAGGAACTCTTCCGCGAAGTCGACCAGCGCTGCTTCGTCGTTCACCTCCCAAACCCGGAATTAGTTCATGGTTGGGAAAGGATTAAACAACTTGTTTTTCCTTATTGAGCTTAAGTCCCCATGAAAATGTAGAATGTGACCCAACTATGACGAAGGGGACCCTAATCCCTACCCGGACGCGAACAAACCTACATTATGATTCCTTATAAAGAGGGGTCAAGGTACACCTTAACCCCCAAGCCTGAGCCTTAAACCTGCACAAGACTAGGGCTTCGAAGGGTTTGGGGTTTAACCCCTAAACCTGCCCAAAACTAGGGTTTGGTTGAGGGTTTGGGGTTTAGGCTATCCAGTTCATTGCTGGGATAGGATCAAAAACTTAAGCGTTTATTCCTTTTGGGTTTAAATACCCATAAAAATGTAATATGTTACCCAAGTATGACAAGGGTATAGACAGACCTAAGCTCCTAGAAGCCCAAACCTCGGGACCAACCTGAACCCTAACCCCATCGTTGGAAAACCCTAAACCCTAAACCCTAAACCATGTACAAACAAACAAACAAAGCATAAATATGCTCTCAAAAAAGTAGTAGACGTATATAATGCACATCAGCATATGTGTATATAGACAGACAGATAGATTGTTACACAGATAGATAGGTAGATACATAGATAGATAGAGAGAGACAGAGGTAGGTAGATAGATAGACAGACATATATACATGTGTGTAAATATAAATATATATATATACTTGCGGCTGTATATGCATGCGCATCTGCACATGTATCTGCATCTGCTTACGTGAAGGCATATGGAAATGTAGCTGTATCTGCATAGGTCCTATGTATATGAATATGTGCATGCGCATGTGTATGTGTATGTCGGCGGAATGTGTGTGTGTGTGTGTGTGTGTGTGTGTGTGTGTGTGTGTGTGTGTGTGTGTGTGTGTGTGTGTGTGTGTGTGTGTGTGTGTGTGTGTGTGTGTGTGTGTGTGTGTGTGTGTGTGTGTGTGTGTGTGTGTGTGTGTGTGTGTGTGTGTGTGTGTGTGTGTGTGTGTGTGTGTGTGTGTGTGTGTGTGTGTGTGTGTGTGTGTGTGTGTGTGTGTGTGTGTGTGTGTGTGTGTGTGTGTGTGTGTGTGTGTAATTCTGTGTGTGTGTGTGTGCGTATGTTTGTTTGTGTGTCTGCGTGTACGTGTGCGGTCGGTGTATGTGCCTGCATCTGCGTATATATATATATATATATATATATATATATATGTGTGTGTGTGTGTCTATGTATGTATATGTGCAAGTCTTTGTGTGGTGTGTGCATATGTATTGACGCGTACTCTTTGTGTATATACAGAAATCTATCTAGACTTAGACGAAACTACCCAGACCCCCGGGAGGATCCAAAAAGTAGATCCTTTGATGGGGCTTCCTATAAAGTACCCTTAGTAGTATAGGGCCCCAAATTAGGGGATCTACTTTCTAGATCCTCCCGGGGGTCTGGGTATTTGCTTTCTTTTAAAGCGCGCCTCGGCCCCCAGGTGTTCAACCACTCGCCGCGTGAACACCGCCAGCCGCAGGGCGGAGCCCTGCGGACGAAGCGGGTGGCTTCTTCTTAGTGCCTGGGGCTTCAAGGTTAGAGTTGTTAGGGTTGTTAGGGTTTAGGGTTTAGGGTTTAGGGTTTGGGGTTTAGGGTTTAGGGGTTTAGGGGTTTGGGGTTGTTAGGGTTGTTGGGGTTGTTAGGCTTCCTAGGCCTTTTAGGTTCTAGGGTGCCTGGCTAAGGGTAAGGGCGGGGCTGCTTTTCCACGCAGGGATCATGAAGAGCTTGAATGAAAGCCGTGGGGATCTGGTTGAGGGCTTGGGTAAACTATAAGAAAACATATAATCTCAGAAAGATGTTTTAGGCGGATTGTGTAGGAAAATTCGTCGCACAACCTCGTCAGTGAGTCAGGAATATCGTTAATGCAAGGCTCATAAGGAAAAACTTTCCTATTCCCCAAAAAATTCTCAACCCTGTCGAGGTTGATGATAGAGCTTGCCTGGACCCTGAAATGCAGCACCTTCTGCTATTGGCCTATTCGGGCCTATTCCGTGTGAAGAAACATGAGAATGATTGATAGCCAAAAAGAGGTACCCTAACTTAAACCCTAAACCCTAGACCCCAAACCCAAATCCCTAAACCTTTCGAAGCTGGGCAGGCGTGACAAAGCACGGGCGTTCCCTCCTGCGCTGCGATCTCTGCGAATCCGACCTGCGTGAGGGGCACGACGTCCTGGCTGTGACATTCTTCCCAAAGCCCGCAACCGTTTACGATCCTCAGCATCCCCCGACGAACCCAAAATCGTCTGCATCCCCAAAACTCTAAACCCGACCCCTCCAAACCCTACACCAAAAAATCCCTAAACCCTACGTCCACTGTGGGCTAAGATAGTGCAATTCTCAAGGGCTTCCCTTTGTCCTATTGGGAACTACGCTGTGTGTTTACTACCTGACTTTCGGACTACAGCTTAAGCTTCCAAGAGTACAAAAATCACCGAGTGAGTGAAACTGCCTTTGCAGCTCCCATCTAACTCGTTCTAAGGGTTACGGCCCAAAACTAGGAGTTTAAGAAAAATAGGGGACCTCAATATAAGACCAAAGCTAGTACCCATAATTTTCGGAAGCTCCCATATTCTTTGTGCTAGCACTCATGGTGTTGGGGGGCTAACTTGACGATGCTCTCCGGAAGTGAACTCTTCAGACTGCAGGGGTGGTTTGAGGTTTAGGGTTTTGGATTTAGGGCTTTAGGGTCTACGGTTTTGGCTTGGGTTTAGGGCTATATGTTTGGGGTTTTAGAGTCAGGGTTGTGGGGTTTAGGGCTTTTGGTCTTGGGTTCAGGGTTTTTGGTTTCGGCTTTTGGGTTTCGAGTTCAGTAGGAATCACCGTGGCTTTCTGGACTTTGCAATACTGAACGAATTCACCGAAAAGGAAATCTATAGGGCAGAACTAGGTATCCCGACTTTCCCATACCAACAGGGCTCTGCCTGGAAATCCTCTTTCGGAGAAACGTTGTAGGGTACAGGAAACCGCAAGTAGCCTAGAGCACAAAAACAGCAACCTTAAAACAATCCAACCTACACCGACAGAAGTCGAAAATAGGCACCCTTTCCATGTCACTGGATGGGAAAGTAAAGGAAGTGCCACATCCCAGAACCCTAAGCCCTAAACCTCTGGAAAAAAGGTTTTAAGTTTTGGGGTTTCGGGTTCAGGCTTTAGTGTTCAGGGAGGATTCCGATGGTGAAGCCTTCCTCCCTAAACCAATGGTAGCATGATGAGGGAGACCCCTTAAAGGGCACCCCTTCCGAACCCTACTTCTGGCTCTCTTAAGAGGGACCTTATTGAGAGGGTCTATATCCCCGAGGGTCCCCCTAATCCGCACTCCCAACCAACCATCTTGCAGCTTGGGCGCGGGGCTTGGCTGGCAGAGATACTCCTGGGGTTTGGGGTGAACTTGGAGGTTCAGCGGTTTAGGGGTTTAGGGTTTAGTTCAGGGGACTTAGTAAGGCGAGTTGTAAGCAAGGTAGCTTCGGATATAGCTACGTATGACCCCGGTTAAGGTACCCAGAGACTCCAATATCCCTTAATAAATTAAGGAGTATTCCTTAAATCATATTAGGGATCTTCCTATAATTTATGGTATATTCCTTACTTAGGGGATATTGGGAGTCTCTGGGTACCTATAGACTCAAAACCCCTCACCCCTGGAATGACATCCCCAAACCCTGTAAGACAGCCACCCTTCGGCTCCAGGCCCCGTTGAAGGAGAGCGAAAGTTAATTCCTAGACAGGAAGCCTTTTAGGGTTTAGGGTTCGGGGTTTCAGGTCGTATAGCTGAGGGCTGAACGAAAACTCTAAACCCTCAGCCCTTAAAGCCTCAAACCCACCGAGGCCGTGTTCATCGAATCCGAGGCCGAGCGACTGTGTCGATGCCTGTGCCACCGTAGACCTCACTGTTTAGGGTCTTAGGGTCTTAGGGTTTAGGGTGTAGAGTTTAAGGGTTTAGGGTCTAGGGTTTGGCTATAACAACTGCCCTGTAATGGGGTTCAGGAGAGGTTTCGGGCCTAGGGCTCGTGATCTTCACAGCTGTCGACAATGTGCAAGACTTCCAGGGACGCACGCGGATCTTCTTACCTTTGGTTAGTAGGGAATGGAGGAATGGGTATAATGATAACTACTATTACTACCATTCTTCCATTCCCTACTAACCGAAGGTAAGTCTTTCGCAATTTCCTACACTGCGGTCTGAAGGTTCTTGTAGCGGCCTGGAGAACTAGAGCGGGGGTTTATTATAGCGACTGCATGGGGGGCTGAAAGGGTGGTGCTAAGCGTCAATCGCCCCGGCCTGTTTCTTACAATCATGGGCTTGAAGTTTTGGACCTGTAGCTGAACCATGCTGTAAGATGAGATTCGAAGACGCAACTAGCCCCCAGAACTGTAAACCCAAATATCCGGATTCGAAAGGGTGTGCAAACGCCCGCACTGCCCCCAGTCTTTACAGTTGTATAAGATTTGAAATGTAATTTTCTGTAGCCCTATTAATTATGACCCTAAACCCTAAACCCTAAACCGGGCCCAAACCCTAAACCCTAAACCCCAAGACCCCCTAACATAGCTCGCTACAGGATGGGGGCCGTTCCCCATCTTCCGGGCTCCGGACTTAAGAGTGAAGGATCTCGGATTCAGGGACAGGGGGCCTAACCTAAAGCAAAGCCCTGAACCCTTAACCCCAAAACCTAAACCCCAAAGCCCGAAACCTAAATCCTAAGCCGAAAAAAGCCCCAGAGGTGTTAAGTTTCGAGTTTGGCGTAAATCAACTCCACGAGCCCCGAAAATCTGCACCCCCCCCCCCCCACCCCCCGAAACCGCAAAAAGCATTAAAGGGCAGCTCTGGAAGTTTGGGTCTCTTTTGGGGTTTAGGGTTTAGGGTCCGTAGTTCTCTAAGTTAGGAAGAAGTGTTCCTACTATACAGGATCTTTAGATAAGGGATCTATAAGGGGGTTGGGTTTCGGATATTAAGTTCCCTTTTGGGGTCCTTTATATAAGGATGCCATACCATTTTGGGGACCTGAAAACGGGACCCCAGTCCAGTGAACTACCCAAAAACCTCGAAGCACCTCTGTCAGCGCATCCGGCAGCGTCGCGTTGGGCGTTGCCGGACTCATGCGGGGGACCAGGCACCAGACCTGATGCGAAGGGAAGCGCAGTGGTTCAGGGCAGTCCTTTCAAGAGGGTTCAGGGTTTAGGGACTTAAGGGTGTGAAGCTGAGGGAATGGTTCAGGGTGTCCTTTCAATAGTGTTTGCCGGGTTTCATAAGATCTCAATACAAAAGAATACAGGGGACTCAATGATGAGAAAAGGCGCTTATGTGGTTCATACAAGGCCTAGGCTTGAGTCTGGCTTAGGGTTTAAGGCCCAGGATTCGGGGCTTAGAGTTCAAGGTTTAAGTCCTCGGGTGTAGGGCTTAGCGTTTGAGTGCGTGTGGGGGTTCTCATTAAGTGTTTAGGGCTGGGCTGGGGCCTCTATAGCTTTCATCGTCTAGACGAGCGTAGCAGCTCCGAACGCTGGCAAGAACGGCTTACTATAAGGGGCCCCAGTAATCACCGACACTGCCCTGCTGAGGGTTCCTGATTACAAGTATAGTATAATGGGCCCCAAAACTTTATTCTAATTATTAAGGCCCCTATACTAAAGGCTTAAAGCATCCTCGAAGTTTCCAGAGAAATGATGCGCGCAGGGTTTTAAGCACCCTATAGCTGCTGCGTTTTCCCCGCAAAATGCCAGCCGTTCGAAGGTCTCAGGGTGCAGGATTGAAGGGTTTGGGTTTAGGGTTTAGGGTTTAGGGTTTAGGGTTTAGGGTTTAGGGTTTAGGGTTTAGGGTTTGGGGTTTAGGGTTTAGGGTTTAGGGTTTAGGGTTTAGGGTTTAGGGTTTAGGGTTTAGGGTTTAGGGTTTGGGGTTTAGGGTTTAGGGTTTAGGGTTTAGGGTTTACTGTATGAACGTTGGCGGGTGACCCTGCGCAGGTTTTCGGATTTACAGAATTTGGTGATTTGAACCCTTGATCCATGAACCTTCAGCCTAGCCCCTATACGGCCGGTACCACTGAACGCTACCGCTTCGAGATCTGCTTGCTTGGCCAAGCAGATCGAGTCTACCAGACCTGATTTGGCACTGCTAGCCATGGGGCACAATAGTAAAATTGGGTACCCTTATCTCCCAGCGCGAGAACCCTGGCGGGGACGGGACCTGGTAGAAAGAGCTTGACGAGCGACCCTGGCGGGTATGGCGGGCGACTCTGGCGGGGACGGCTGACGACCCTGGCGGGGACTTGGTGGACGGACGACTTTGGCGGGGACGGCGCGACCCTGGCGGGGACGGCGGGCAACCCTGGCGGGGACGGCGGACGACAGCAAAAGGGCCAAAAACAGCTTGGCGGACGACTCTGGAGGGACGGCGGACGACCCTGGCGGGGACGGCGGGCGACCCTGGCGGGGACGGCGGACGACTCTGGCGGGGACTTGGCGAGTCTGGCAGGGACTGAAAAAGCCAAAAACAGCTTGGCAGACGACTCTGGAGGGGATGGCGCCTTATCTCCCAGCGCGAGAACCCTGGCGGGGACGGGACCTGGTAGAAAGAGCTTGACGAGCGACCCTGGCGGGGATGGCGAGCCCTCTGGCGGGGACCCTGGCGGGGACTTGGTGGACGGACGACTTTGGCGGGGACGGCGCGCGACCCTGGGGGACGGCGGGCAACCCTGGCGCGGACGGCGGACGACTCTGCTGTGACAGCAACTAAAAAAGCCAAAAACAGCTTGGCAGACGACTCTGGAGGGAGACGGCGGACGACCCTGGCGGGGACGGCGGGCGACCCTGGCGGGGACGGCGGACGACTCTGGCGGGGACTTGGCGACTCTGACAGGGATTGAAAAAGCCAAAAACAGCTTGCAGACGACTCTGGAGGGGATGGCGGACGGGACGGCGGGTGACCCTGCGGGGACGGCGTGGCGGGGACGGCGGGCAACCCTAACGGGGACGTCGGACACTCTGGCGGGCACTTGGCTTTGACAGCAACTAAAAAGGCCAAAAACAGCTTGGCAGACGATTCTGGAGGACGGCGGACGACCCTGGCGGGGACGGCGGGCGATCGTGGCGGGGACGGATCCAGTTCCTCCAAAAAGAGCTTTGCGGACAACCTGCGGGGCCCGTTCGTCGTCCTTCCCTCTGAGGAACAGGCCAGGCAAACAGCGACCAAAGTCTGGCCGCCCGGCGCCACACAGGAGCTCAGCGGGCCAATCTGGCCGGAGACGGTTTAAACGCTCAAAAAATACGGACCCTGGCGGGGACGGCGACCCTGACCAAGCGACCCTGGCGGGGCAGCGGTGTGACCCTGGCGGGGACGGCGGACGACCCCTTGAGTGGACGATCCAGTTACTCCAAAAAGAGCTTTGCGGACAACTCTGCAGGGCCGTTCGTCGTCCTTCTCTTTGAAGCATAGACGCGAAACAAGCTTTTTCTGGTGTGGACGGTTCGTCGTCCTTCTCTGTGAGGAACAGGCAAGGTAAACAGCCACCAAGGTCTGGCGCCACACAGGAGCTCAGCAAGCCAATCTGGCCGGGGACGGTTTGTCAGTTTGTCGTCTTCTCTCTCAAAAAATAGGTTAAATGGCAAAGCAAAAAGCCACCATCGTCTGGCGACCCGGCGCTATCACTCCAGAGCCTTAAACGACCCAGGCGGCACGCTTCGTCGTCCTTCTCTCTGAAGAATCGACGACTCTGGCAGGAACCGGGCGAAAAAACCCTGGCGGCCGACTGGATGATCAGCACTCTTGGCCGGACTGGCACGGACAGCGGACGGCTGCAGACCACTTCTGGAGGCCTGGCACTGGGCCCTGACGGACGACTCTGACGACGGCTGACGGACGACTCTGGCGGCCGGCGAGGACGAGCGAGGGCGTCGCTGCTATTTTGTGACTACATCACTCGGATGTCCCTTTGACGTTCCGCAACATTGCAACGTCTTTTCGGCTAGTGCAGCACTCGAATAAGAAGAAGCAGAACACAAAACCCGTTCTAGTCCTGCTTCGGGTGGTTGTGGGTGGGTTCCACGTTACGAAGACGGCGCGACCCACGACCACTCCATGGGTGGGGCGCGCCGTGGCACCCTAAACCCCAAACCCTAAACCCTAAACCCTAGGGTGTAGGGTTTAGGGACCCCTGCCTTAAAACCCGAGTCTCCTCAGTCCTTCAGCCCCAGACTTTGTAGTCGTGGCCGTAGTATGGCATCGGGGCAATCTCGTAGTGGCCCAAGCCTTCGTGCACCGGCTCAACGCTTCTTGGGGGGTTTAGGGTTTAGGGTTTCAGGTTTAGGGTTTAGGGTCTAGGATTTAGGGGTTTAGTGCGCTAGGGTTTAAGGTTTAGGGTTTAGGGTCTAGGGTTTAGGGGTTTAAGGCGCTTTTGGGGGGGTTTAGGGTTTAGGGCGCTTTTTGGGGGGGGTTTAGGGTTTACTTTATGCACAAGGGGTGCGCGTTCGGGTATACTGGCGTAGAGCGTTTCACAGACTTGAACTATGTTCTTGGGTTCTTGGGGTGGGGAGATTAGGGCTTCTGGATTTTAGGTTGTGGGGGGGGGCTACGGTTGATGATATAAATCCTGCACTACCTTAAGGACCCTAAACTATGGGAAACATGGTATATTCCTTATTATGGGTAATGCAGGATTTATATCATCAACCGTAGGAGTAGGGTATAGGGTTCAGGGTCTGGGGCTTAAAGGTTCTTTATAGGCTTCAGATACATTGGGTTTAAACGGGCTTCCCAGAGACTCCAATATCCCTTAAGTAAGGGTATATTCCTTAAATCATATGAGGGATCCTACTGTAATTTTTGGTGTATTCCTTAATTAATAATTACGGGATATTGGAGTCTCTGGGTTTGTGGCTTGAGGATTCGGCGTTCAGCTGGGATTGGCTGTAACGGGCACTGCAGCAATTTAAGTTATGCAGCATGCATGTGTCGAGCACTCCTTGAACCCGATGACAACTGCTTCTAGGGTCGACAATCCCTTGTAAGAGATGGGGTCTTGATGAATCGGAGTCTAGCACAAACCCTTAGAAACGCTTGATAATAAACCTTGGTGAAAACAACATATTATGAAGCCAACAAAAGGCCCGCAAAAGCCTTCGAGAGTCATATACAGCCCTGTTCCTAAAGGAGCTTTGCCAACCTGTGGCATGGCATTACGAACCACTAATGTAGCGGTCTGCAGAAGTAGTCCTGATTCGACAAGTCCTGGAACCCCTATGTAGTTTTTAGCATCACATAGCCCAAACCACCCTTGTCCTTTTAGAAATAATAGACAGAGCCCTATGCCTATATCCCGTAGTGGCAATTTTTTAAGAAGCTCTACTAGCCGGTCTGTTTATTCTTTTGAGGGAACCATGAAAAAGGACAAGGCTGGCCCAAACCCCTTTCCCAATTCTCTAAGCGAATATTTCAGCTGGGGCCCAATTGCAGCTGGAGCCCGCCCTGATCAGCCGCAACCCGTCGCCAGCACCCTTAACCCGGTTCCTATAAAGTACCCTTAGTAGTATAGGGCCCCAAATTAGGGATCCACTTTCTAGATCCTCCCGGGGGTCCGGGAACTCTAAACCCTGAACCCTAAACCCTAAACCCCAAACTTCAGAACCCTAGACCCTAAACCCCAAACTCTGAACCCTAAACCCTGAACCCTAAACCAGGCCCTACAACGAGATAGCTCAGAAACTCCAGATCTCCAAGCTTTCACAGCGATTTCAGAATATCCTAGGGCTTGAAACTTGAGTTGAAAATTCTTAAACCCTGAACCTAAAAAGTCAAGAACACCTAAACTCCTAGCCGCTAAACCGCCAATAATCCTTGGAATAATCCGAAAGCTCTGAACTTGCTCATAAAATCCAGCGGGGGAGCCGAACAGTCCGAAGTGTTCCTCAGAGCCGCCCTTCCAGTACGCCACCTTCCCAGACCCCCGGGAGGATCCAGAAAGTAGATCCCCTAATTTGGGGCCCTATATTACTAAGGGTACTTTATAGGAACCCCTAACAAAGGGATCTACTTTTTGGATCCTCCCGGGGTCTGGGTTTTGAGGCTTAGGGGTGACGGGGGTTGGGTTTAGGGTTGAGGCTTCGGGTTTTA